AGTAGCTGGGATTACAGGCACGCGTCACCATGCCCAGCTAATTTTTTGTAGTTTTAGTAGAGACGGGGTTTCACCATGTTGACCAGGATGGTCTCGATCTCTTGACCTCGTGATCCACCCGCCTCGGCCTCCCAAAGTGCTGGGATTACAGGCTTGAGCCACCGCGCCCGGCCACTAAAATATATTTTAATAGGCATACAGGTTAATTATACACTTTTATAAAGTCACTAAATAATAGTAGATACCACTTATAAAATTATAAATATAATTTGGAAAATATATTTCTTACAATGTCTGTTTCTTACATCTATTTGCCCCTTAATTTAAATGTTATGAAGAACTAATGCATTTGCATATAGATAAGAGCACAAGGATAACAACTGTTTTCCAGAAGACTAAGCATGTTTTTCAATGTTCACTTAATTGTTTTAAAAAAATTACCCATTGATTACGTCTGTATAGTATTAGCTCAAATGTCTGTAGTTAAATTTGTATATTAGCACAGAATTAATGTACTATCATTCAAATACTTATGTTACAATATAATTGCATATAACTTTGATTTCTAAAAACAATAGAACTCCATATTAAAAGTTTACTATGGAATTATGTCAAACATGTTTAATCAGGTAAAATATCCACAAGTCCATACTAATAACAATAAGTGACTAAATACATTGTTAAATGAAGAAGTTATATAATTGTATAATTTTTTTAGCATACATGATTTTATTTTGTAGACAATTTATGCAGTAAACTGTCTCATCAGCAAACCTATCAAATGGAGAGTGAAATTTATATATTACTTATTTGTTGGAATTCCATTGCAACATTAGATTTCTTACTATTTTGAGATTGAGAGGTATTATAAAAATTGTTTTTTAAAAAGAAATGCAGATTTGTTTTACTCTTCAATATCAGTCACCTCTATTTCTGAAAGGTAATTTAAGTATTGTAGTAAACAGCAGGAGTTATAAAACCAGATTACCTATATTTGATTTCTGCAGCTGCCACTTGCTATCTGTGAGACCTTGGAAAAATTATTTAACTGCTCTGTGTCTCAGTTCCTTTACCTATAAAATGGGCACAGGTATTGATCGACCCATGACCTATGCAGCTTACGACCATTCGCCTTTACGACCACAATCGCTAGCCACGACTGCTCTGCATCTGGCAGCGCAAACGTTGCCCAGCTGGGCTCACGACAGTGCGGACCAGCTTCCAGCAGCAGTACCATCTCTGCGTGCACCACTTCAACAGTTATCCCAGACTCGGTACAGCAATTTGTGTTTTGTGTCTTGGATATTTTTCATCAAACCCCTCCCAATAAACTTCTTATACATTTCGAAGTAATGGACCCAAACATCGAACAATTTGCAAGGATTGAAAGGATGGCGCACGATGTGTTTCGTCCGTATCGTGAAATTGATGAAGAAAAAAAGAAACATACAATTCAGACAAAGCTCATCATATTTATGAAAAAACCAACTCCGGTAACCCCAACTGCTGCCATGACGACATCAACGACCTGCAGCCAAAGCACCGGCGGCCAATAAAATGTTTCCTACATGTTTATATATCTTGATATGTTTTGCAATTGGGAAAATCTTTCCTATGGTATTTTTTACACCTGTATTTTGTATTTTTGTGTGCACCTGTATTTTGTAATTTTGTATGTTTTGCAAATATTAAACCAGTTGTACCGGTAATGTAGTGTTTTACTTAAACCTGACGAATGTAAAAATAAGAAACAAAATGGTGTAGAGATGATACAAATGGCATAAAATGAACAAAGAAAATTATGATAAATAATAATGAAAGAAAATTATGATAAAATATGACTTAAAGATTTTTATAACATCATTTCACAGTACTGTACATATAGCCTACTCAATTTATGACCAAATCGTGTTACAACCGGCCTGTCAGAACCAATCGTGGTCGTAAGTCGAGCACTAGCTGTATAATAATAACAACCTCATAAGTTGTTGTGCAAACTAAATGAACAATCTTGGAAAATATTAGCCATCATCATCATTGTTAATTTCTTCACTATTAATAATTTATATATTATTAGCAATTTACAGTTAAATTATTTTGTTGTTAATCAATATACATAAAATTATTTTCTCAAAGTGGTATTTTTCTAAAAGTAGTGCATTTAATCCTTTCAATTAGTATAATATGCTGTCTTTTGTATTTTTATTGTAGTCATTTAGCTTCTCTTAGCTTTCAGGAACATTTTACTCCACCTCTACATGTCAGTTAAGGCAGCCTGAGGGGCATTATTATTAATGGGTTTTTTTCTTTTTTTTTTTTAATGTTGCTTATTGTAGTTTTAGGGAATTACACTTTTTCTAAAATTTTTTCTGACATAAGTACACTCTGACACTGAAAGCTTGTTTTCTAACTCTCAACTGCATGCTAAATACCGGATCCTAGACTCTTAAGGGGTCAATAAAGTATCTATTTTAGCCGCAGCTTCATATTAAATTAAAGATGAATTTTTAACAATCTGCATATTTAGGTGAAATATTAGGGAGTAGTTACTAAAATGTAAAAAATGGTATAAGTAATATATGTTCATGTCTTCATCATACTCCATTCCATAAGGTAGTAAAATATTTGTCTGTTTTTTCTTACAGAAGGTGATTCAAGTCAGTTGAGAGGCCAGTGTGTGGAGGAGGTCAGGCCACCATAGAAAGAATGATCCACTCTGGACGAGAGCTGCAGGCGATGAGTGAACAGCTAAGTGAACTGTCAGGAACAAAAGTACAGAGTCTTCATTTAGCTTTCATTTACTTCTTAGTTTTCATCTTTCTGACCATCCACCGGCTTTTAAACCTCAGGATTTTGTTTTTTCTGCATTTCCCAAGCATTATTCAGAAACTGGACAGCAGCCCTTTTCACTGGTAACTTCTTGTTGGGAAGAGACAGGAACTTATTTATAGTAGTCCTGTTGGTTCCTGGCCCATCTAAAGAATGATGGATGAAGGCTTGTGCTGCTTGTTGCATTGAATCTCTCAGCGCTTGTCTTATAGCCTTAAGGCCAAGTAGCTTGTATTCTGGCTGACAGACTGTACTTTTTGTACTTTAACTTTCTTAGAGTCATTTCCTTTTTCACAGTCTTCATTTTTCTTTAGATATTAACTTCTTTCACCCTTCCTGGCGACTTCTTTATGTTAGTCTGGGAAGCTGTCATTAACTTCTCTAAAATAGTGTCTGGAAGGAGTTTTGTTTTCTTTTGTTCAATGAACAGCTTCTCTTCTGGCTTCCTTTTCTCCTTCAGGATCGTTTTATCCCTGCACATGATCTCCTTCACTTGCTGGTCCTCTTCTCTGGCTTCTGCTTGGGTGCTGGCCAAAGTCAGCTCTTCCAGGGCCTTGCTGTCAAGCTCATAGTCCCCTTCCTAGTCTTCCTCCAGCAACTTGAGGCCAGGCCCTGCTGGACTGCCAGAGCGACTGCCAGAGCAACAGCTGTGCTCCACCTCCTCCTCCTGGTCCTCCTCCACCATCACCTTCAAGGACACCAGGGCAATGGGTTGGAACTGCACCATGGCCCACGCAGCACTGGAACCAGATTGCATAATTTCTGTGTAATTCTATGGTTTTGCATAATTGTCTAGGCACTTATTTTTATGTTTATCATGTTGTAGTGTGAGAGTATGGTTGGAATAACCTCATGTTTTCTTTCTTTCTTTTTTTTTTTCAATTTGTCCAGGATTGCTTTCTGCTCAATTGTGTAGTCAATTTTAAAGTGCATGTCATGTGCAGATAAGAATAATGTATACTCTGTTGTATTGAGGTGGAGAGTTCTGTAGCTGTCTATTAGGTATATTTGGTCACATGTTGAGTTCAGACCCCAAATATATTTATTAAGTTTCAGCCTCAATAATCTGTCTAATACTGTCAGCGAGGTGTCAAAGTATCCTACTATTATTGTGTGGTTATCTAAATCTCTTTGTAGGTCTCTAAGAACTCACTTTATGAATCTGGTTGCTCCTTTGTTTGGTTTGTATATATTTAGGATTAGTTAGGTCTTCTCCTTGATACCATTATGAAATGCCCTTATTTGTCTTTTCTCATCTTTCTTGGTTTAAAGTCTATTTGTCTGTAACTAGAATTGCAAATTTTTTCTGTCTTCTTATTTCTATATTCTTGGTAGATTTTTCTCCATTCTTTTACTTAGGACCTATGGGTATCATTGCATGGGAGAGGGCTCCCTTGAAGACAGCATACCATTGGGTTTTGCTTCTTCATCCAGCTTGCTGCTCTGTGCCTTTTAATTGGGGCATTTAGCCTATTTACAAAGTTAGCATTGATTCAATTAATACTATTGTGAAGATTTGATCCTGTTATAATGGTGTTAGCTGGTTATTATGCAGACTTATTTGTGTAGCTGCTTTACAGAGTCAATGATCCATGCCTTTAAGTCTGTTTTTGTCATGGCCACTATGCATCTTTCCTTTCTGTATTTAGCACTCCCTTCAGGATCTCTCCTAAGGCAACTCTGGTGGTAAAAAAATTCCCTTAGCATTTGGTTGTTTGTAAAGGTTCTTATTTCTTCTTCACTTATAAAGTTTAGTTTGCTTAGATATGAAATTCATAGTTGGAAATTCTTTTCCTTCAGAATGGTGAATATAAGCCCCCAGTCTCTTCTGGCCTGTAAGATATCCGCTGAAAAATCTGCTGTTGGGCTGATAGCATTACCTTTGTATGTGACTTGCCTCTTCTATCTAGGTGCCTTTAACGTTTTTCTTTATTTGACTTTGGAGAATCGGATTACTATATATCTTGTTGATGAAATTTTTGTGTAGCATTTTGCAAGGGTCCTCTGTATTTCCTGAATTTGAATGTTGACCTCTCTAGGGAGGCTGGGGAAATTTTTATAAATGATATATTGAAATAAGTTTTTCAAGTTGCTTAGTTTCTCTCTCTTTCTTTCAGGGACAACAATGAGTCATACATTTGATCTCTTTGTATAATTCCACACTTCTTGGAGGTTTTGTGTTTTCTTCTCTATTTTTTTTCTTTTTTTGTCTTTACTGAGTGATTTTGAATAGTCAGTGTTCGAGCTCTGAGATTCTTTCCTCAGCTTGGTTGATTGTGCTGGTAATACTTTTGATTGCATTCTGAAATTATTGGAGTCAGTTTTGCAGCTCTATGAGATACTTCTTTTTTTCTTAAAATGTCCGTTTTGTCCTTCATATCCTGTATTGTTTTGTTGTATTCCTTCAAATCTTTGAATTAGATTTCAGCATTCTATTGAATCTCAATAATTTTCATTCCTATTCATATTCTGAATTTTATTTCTGTTATTTCAGCCATCTCAGTCTTATTAAGAACTATTACTGGGGAGCTAGTATAGTCTTTGGGAGGCTAGGAGACACTCTGGCTTTTTGAGCTGCCAAAGTTCGTGTGCCAATGCTTTCTCATATTTGTAGGCTAATACCCCTTCAATCTTTGAAGATGATGTCTACTGGATAGATTTTATTTTTTGTTGTTGTTGCTTTTATCTTCTTTGATGTTCTTGGGGGTTGAATCACTGAATGAGATAGGTTTAGTTGACTGGCTTTATTTCTGGAAGATTTTAGGAGGTCAAGGCTCAGCTCCGGATTCCTGTGCTGTGTGCTCTAAATCTGGGTTGGGAGGTGCTGATATTAGCCCCCCTAATTTGTTCTCTGGCACCTTGATGTTAGGAACTTACTGTTATAGAGGTCAATGTGTTCTCTGACTACTGGTCACAATGCAGATGGGCTAGGCTAGTCAAATGCTGTGTGTGGTAGTGGCAATAGAATCCCTGCTCATTTAAATTTGTCAGTAGCAGTAGCACATTTGTCAGCTGAGGAGGGTTGCTGGCAGGCATATGGTGCCAGCCCACTTGTGGGTGTTTACAGTGGCAGCAATGGTGGCATGGTATGAAAGGTGAAGAGATGAGGCCACTGGTGTCTGCGTGGAAGCAGGAAACCAGTGGGCATGGACTGGTGGTCTCTATGCATGTGATCACATGGGTAGCAATGGTGGCACAAGGAAGGGGGCAGAGCTATTGGTCTCCTGGTGCACCTTCACATTGACAATGGCATTGCAGGAGGGTGCACTAATGCCAACAGCTGTGGCATAGTGGCAGGCACATGTATATATGCACCAGCAGGGACATGGAGACAAGGTCCACCTATGTGCATGTAGCATGGTCAAGCAATGTGGGGTGTGGCCATGGGTAAGTGCATGCTT